GTGGAGAGTTGGAACTTTAGCTGTGACCTTGACAATAGCGGTGGAGTGTTGGAACTTTAGCTGTGACCTTGACAATAGCGGTGGAGAGTTGGAACTTAGGCAGAAGGTGACATACTCTTTCCCTGTCACAACGTTAATATACAAGGTAGAGGGGTTACACAGGAAATTGTAAGGGTGATGGAGAGAAAATCTGCACTATAATACATAGATTTGCAAAAAAATACACGATAGTTAAGTTGATATATCCTCAATTTATTCACAGTTATCTGTAAACAGCAAGTGGTAAAGGCAATACAGACGTCTGAAAGTGTTAAATATGTATACCTTTATAATTAACAGGCAATGGGAAAAGTCTGTTTATTCCTACTCAAGATTTCCAAGTCTATTTTAACTTTATTTTCATCAACTTTTAATAGGCACTTTTAAAGTATGGTCTGAAACTTTTGTACGTAAAAAAATAATTGCATTCCTAATATTTTGAGGGCTGAAAAACAGACACACAACTGTCATTTTGGCCTATCCTTTTCATCTACAGCACAGGTGGTTATCTGACTTACCTGTACAACTGTATTGAGTGCATTGTTGTTTCTTGTAATCTTTGGTGTTCTACAACTTACGTACGATAAGGTGCATGCATTTTACACTGTAGGAGATTTACGTTAATCGGGAACGTTAGTTTAAGTTTAGCTTTAACAAAATATGTCACATTTAGGCAAGGTGTTCACTTGAATAATGTATACCATATGAACTATTCGCCGTACACCAGTTATTTTAAACATTCCTATTCGCCGTACAATGTATTGCTATTCGCCGTACACTTCACCAAAATTAGTTATACCAATATCTAAAGAAAAAAGCATAATATAGAATGACTTCGTGTATTATCATGACTATATAACTATAAGAAATCATCTTAGCATATAAATGTATATATTTACATTTGCATGGCATTGCCACTATATAGCCTCTTTGAAAGTTGTGTCGTTGATGGGACTTTTAATTACCACACAGCACGAGACACAATTCTTAGCATATTAATACGACACTGACCGGAACTACAATATCCAATGTAAATAAACATGACGGCTGCTGAAATATCGCTGGGTATTGTGAGACTTGACCATGTTATTGTAAATTTACGTGCAAAATAAAAAATAAAATAAAAAAACACCTTTTATTACAACTAAAACAAGACCAAACTAGGTCTGCAATATCGTACAAAGTGCACATCGGTTGAAATCACCAATGGAAACAATTTTAACGCTCATGCAATTTATCAGAAATATCGTCTGTTACACTGCACTGATCAACAGGGGTTCGTTACAAATGTCTGAAATACACATATTCTATAGACCTACTGACACATATGATACAGACCTACTGATATGAGTCACAGCACACATGAACATTTCAGAAATTTGTAACGAACCCAGTGGCGGATCCAGAGACCTATCTGGGGGGGTTTCCAAATTTTCCTGGGGGGTTTCCATGTGGGGAAAAATTGAGGAAAATGGTGAAAATACATGATTTTTAAAGAAAATTATCAGGGTGGGGGGTTTCCTGAAGCCCAAAACACCCCTCTGGATCCCCTGTGCTCCGTCCTAAGTTCACTCACTTCAAACGCTATCAGTTTCACGCGTCTCGCAGCCACGGTTTCCTCAGTTTCTGACGGCATGTCAAATAACGAGGCCGTTATAGAATCTACCGACTGTAGTCATGCAGATTCCCATACAATCAACAAATAAATTCACGTCTTGATTCTTCACAAAATGAGCAAAGAGAAAGTTCGAATTACCTTCCAAAAATAACTCCCTCGTGGAGGGCAAGGTCGGATTTACGGTGTTCACTGTATTTATCTATGCGTGAAATTTGTTCCGGTTAAAAATCGAAACAATTTCAAATCTAACTTTCAGCTCAGAGATCTATTGATAAACTTAAATCACCCTATAGACAAAATTTTATTGTATTTTATTGTTAAAGTACTACTTTGTTTGCCAATCGGCACGCGACAATACGTTGTTCCAACTATTGAACGAATTTGTGTGGACTGTCGATAAGGCGGGAATTTAAAATTTTAAATATAAATTGTAAGTTAAAAAAGAACATTAGAGGCAGAGAAAACGTAAATATAAGTATTGAACTGTCTTTGTATTGTATTTTTGATGTATTTGAATGACACAGCTTTGCAAGCAAACACATCAAAATGCGCTAGCATTGAAAATAATATATACATTTTTAGTTGTGAACGAAACTCGGTAGTTGTACCATATAATCCGTGTGACTATTCCTGTCGTTGGGTTTATCACATAATTCTGGATATTTACACATTATTACTGTCGCACAGCTACATGCATGTCCATGTTACTCTTTTAGTTCATATAACATTTTCCCGTTGCCAGTTTGTTTTGATATACCAAACACTCGTATATGTAGATGTGTTATTGGTACATTGATCAGTAAACCTACCTATGCATTTCCTTAGGATCTATTTATAAATCATCTATAGAAACCAGACATATTTAATAGCTAAACAAGTCGTCATTGTATCTTTATTTCAACATTCAAATTTTTCTTCCGAGTATTTCTTACGATCAATTGATGCGTTTAAAATCATATCTTTAAATCCAGTGTAACACTAGCTAGCATAGTGAATTTTAGCTCAGGCTATACTCGTATTGTTTATTTCGATCATATTGAATTGACTGCCTTAGTTGAAATTCAGTCATAATTTAGCCATCATATTATCCAAATAGGAGTCACTCGATCTGTCTTATCCGCTCAATTTTCCTTTCCGCACAATAACCGACCTATATGGAAACTGATTTTAATGAAAAAATGTAAGAATGTAAAATTATTTAAACTGATTTCAAATTTGAACTTAACTCATGGTTAGTATTACTGATGTCCATATACAAGACTTGGATTTGAGAAGAGTTTTTGTATGATAATGTAAGCAAATATGATTGGGTTTTTGGTGAAAATTTGGTGATTTGGTCAAGATTACTTTACACATAGACGATGGATAAGTTCATCTGCAGGTTTGTTTTAACGAATGTATGCCCATTCCAAACACCAGTGGATACCAAATGGTATTTATTACTAAACGTAGACATATTCAAATCAATTAATAGGAGATTGAAAGTTACTAAATATCATTTTTAAATTTTCATTTTATTTTAACAGTAAACCAATCTAGTCATTATAGGCATATATTACTAGTTACAGCAAACACGAATTTAATCAATAAATATTTATTATGGAAATTAGTGCTTATTGATCGTAATTTGAAATCCAGATTTGAAGGGAGGTAACTCTGGTAGCAGCAGGTACAATGTACAAAGGTTAGAAAAGCAATTATATTTATTCCTTTACTTCCAAAATGTTTTTTTATTACTTCGTTTTGTTTAAATTTTTGTTAAGACATTGAGATATTTGTTGCAACCAGCACGGATCTACTGCATTTGGGTATCCCCAAATATTTGAATCTTTTAATGTCAATATTTTATCAGTAGTAAGTTTATACATTTTGTATGGGCTTGTTCTATATCATAGGTAGTACATATGTACATTGTGTTCATCACCATACAACTACATGATGCGATATGTGCTCGATGTTGTGATAGACTGATTACATTTTTATTCACAGTACCAACAATTTCTAGTAGAATAGGAGGCCCAATGGGCCTGCATGTTCACCTGGTTTTAATCTCCCACTTGCAACCTTAAAAGTGGACCAAGGTCAAATATCTTTAATTGGACTAAATAAAGCTACAAGATAGTTATCATAACCTATGACTCCTGGTCATTCAAAGAACCTGTTGAAATGTTATGACAAATTGGTGTGTGACCTTGAATGTGGATCAAGGTTATTCATTTGAACAAACTTGACAGAGACTCGTCCCGCCATGCTACTGGCTGCATGTCATCAACCTAAGCCTTTTTCGTTATTCATCAGAAGTTGTTTAAACATTTTCAACACATAAGATTCCTATGGCCTTGAACATGGGTCAGAGGATCATTTATTTGAATATACATGTAACTGATAGTCATTCACCCCTGCATGCTACTGGACAAATATCATCCTAAGCCTCATAGTTGTTTAAAGTAAACAAGAGATCCCGGAGGGATCTTGGCACCCACCTTTGTACCATCTTCATTAGTTCTTTGTCAGTTCGATCTTTTCTCTTCTTTCCTCCGATCTGTTTGATCGAGTCATGTTAACAGTAAATGCCCCTTCAGGTAACTTTTGATCTAAACTTAATACTGATGTGTATGAAAGCCATTTTTCATATTTACTAGTACAGTACTTAATGTGAAAGAAATAGAATCGATCATTGCAATATGAGAAATATCTGTTTAGTTCTTCTTTTAATCCATTTTGTTTTTATGATCAGTCTCAAAATATAACATACACAACGAGGGATCAAGGGGAACCTACATTTAAAATTTGAGAAAGATCCCTCCCGTACTTCCCGAGAAATAGCGATAACAAACTCTCAATATCAAAATTCAAGATGGCTGCCTGTCGGCCATGTTGTTTATCCGATCAGTCTCAAAAGTTGCCCTGCACAGCTAAGGATCAAGGGAAACCTGCATATAAAATTTTAGAAAGATCCCTCTAGTACTTGAGAAATAGCGATAACAAACTTTCACTATCAAAATCCAAGATGGCTGCCTGTCGGCCATGTTGTTTATCCGATCAGTCTCAAAAGTTGCCCTGCACAGCTAAGGACCAAGGGGAACCTGCATATAAAATTTGAGAAAGATCCCTCTGGTACTTCTTGGAAAATACCGATAGCAAGAATTGTTTAGGGACGGACGACAGACGCAGGGTGATTTGAATAGCCCACCATCAGATGATGGTGGGCTTAAAAGTTGACACAGGATGAATGAGGGACGACGTACCACAACATTGCTGGAAAGGGCCAAGTGAGCTAACACATTAAAATAATTTCTGGTAAAATTTTAAAACTTCTGCAGAAATCAAAACAACACTGGGAAACTGAATCTGTACATTTACTTAATAAAACAGTCAATGTTAAACTGCAGATATTCAACTACACATACATAAAATGTTATTCTGAAAATACAATCTGTCACGTTTTGTCTCAATCATGTAGACTCTCTCGTGTTGAGGTAGACCATCTGATTCACGTTGAGACTATCAGACCGCTTATTCTTCTTTCATCACCATGTAGCAGTCAGGAGACACACACTCGAAGCATTCCATAGAACAAACACCTCAACATCTCATTATCTCTGGACTCAAAATTATAGTTTTGCATCAATAGACCATAACTTACAATGTGCATATGATGTTATACATGTAGGAGTATAAACAAATAAGATTATATTTCATTGCAATTAACACCCATATTCCATATTCTAGTCGATTCAATCAACCTAGTAAACTCTCTCTTACCAGCACAACATAGACATGGTCTCGGCACACAGATCTGAGTTAAAAGTGTTAATCTAATGTTTTAAAGGGAAAAGTTACATCATTCTTGTCATGTTTAGCAATTTTTAAACTAGAAAATAATAAATCTTTCTTACTGTAATCAGATCTTGACTACTTCCCCTCTAATTCAGGATTTGTTTTAACAGTAAAGTACGTATTGAACTTGAAGTATGCTACCTTACTGTAACATATACAATTCTACAGTATGAGTCTTGTAAAACACGTTGATGTATGCCTTTAAAGGTTCAACGGAGTGTTTACATCAATAACATTCAGGTAACTACGATTGAAGCTTTTTTTAAGGTAATATATAACACTCACAGAGTGAAAGGTACAATATCCCTTAACTGATTTAAGAAAGACATCGAATGATGCCAAAGTTAACTTTGACCAAGGGAAACTGAGCGACAGAATTTTCTGTAAAACTGGTTTCATTTCCATTTATAAAAACATCAAATAACACGACCCTACCATTGTTCTTGTCATGCATGTAACTAGCGTCCTTAAAATCCAATAGTTCTGCTCTTGATATGAGTATCTTCTCAGCTCCCATGAAATATGTCAATACAAAATGGAAATCCTTTAATGCAACACCTTGTGGACGATATAAGCAGACCATTCTGATGTCTTTGATGAAGAACAAAGGAATCAAAATGGCAGATTATTGGTCAAATTAACAGGCTCTGAAGTTGGGTGTTGCTCCTCTGTAAAGGACAAAAATATCAGACTAGCTATATTGGTCAGGGTATTTTTTTTTACTGGAAACCCATCAAATAACTTACTGTGTCTTCCATTTTGTCATGACATATTCCAGAGATGCAGAGATGTAAGTCAACACAAATCCTGGAATTTCAAATATGGCATTTTACATACAATAACACTAACATGACTGGTCATACCTGTTACATACAATAACACTAGTATGACTGTCATACATGTTACATACAATAACACTAGCATGATTGGTCATACCTGTTACATACAATAACACTAGCATGATTGGTCATACCTGTTACATACAATAACATTAGCATGACTGGTCAGCAATACTGGTAGTAAATTTGCTTATTTAATCAAATGACTGTTGATACCAAAACCTATGAATATTTTTTGATAACATGACTGCTTATAATGACGTTGGTTCAGTCTGATGATGTGTGTAAGCAGAAATGTTATTTTTAACATATTACATACATGGCATTAAGCAATAATATTTCAATTAAAATGTTATTGCTTTCAAATTAAAACGTTTCAATGTGATTTGGTGTGTAGTACTTCATACAATGAATTAGTAGCAAGTCACAGTAAAAATTGACATCAAAGTAAAGTAGCAATTTCTTAGGATTTTTTATCACAACATCACATTTCCCCTACATAACATTACAATATATATATATATACTAGCTGATCTATCCTGGTGAATGAATTACCCAAATTATTTTAACGTTCATTTCTAAAATATGACCCTTCCATCTATATTTCATAATACTTTCTCCTACGTCATTGGTAGAATTGGAAGAATTAATATCCCATCAGCTGATTGCATGATGCGTAAAACATTTATCTTGGATGACAAATTGTTCTTATTTCTGCCAACAAAAGATTTGATGAAATTTCAGTATAAATGAAAAGGTGAAAGACTGTTTATCACGAAGAAGAAAACAGACCAGTTTTTAATTTGATATTACTTATATCAATTAATAATTTCAGCCCCAAAAAATCACACTTTAATCTAACCTATTTCATTGTATTTTATAGAAAAGAATCATTAGTGTCTCAAAGTATATACTAACTGCAATACTAGCTGAAAGAAATGGCTAGAAAGAAATTCATAGCATAGTGTCAGAAAGAGAGAGTAAAAAGTTGGAATTACAAGAAGGACAGATCTCTTCTGGTAACGAATCACAGATTTAACATATAATTTACATACATTGATAAGTTGGTATCATTTTTTGTATTTCACAATTAAATAGCTGATATGTTATATGTTTTTGACAAAACTAAATCCTTTTTAATAATTATATCAAGATATTTCAAACTAATGCTGAGAACATAATGGTTTTTTTTCTTATCCATGCCAAATTACTTAATGTGAAGACCAATTAAGAGCTTATTTAAAATAGGATAGCCAAATGAATGACATTAGAAAAATGGAGGAACTTGCAAATATATAATTATTGTATCATTATGTAATTCTGTTTTAATTATCTTCAGAATTTATGAGATGAATCTCGCAAGTTCATGTCATTATTAAATTGTAGTCATTCCATATACCAAATCAATCAACATACAATGGTCTGGTCATGATAAAATATTTTGAACACAATTTCAGGAAACATTTTGTAAAGAAACTTGTGCTCCAGAATGAAATGAAGAATCATTTGTGAAAGTTTACTTAACCAGTTTCTTTCTTTAAATTTGATACGTCAACATAAATGGTACACATAATCTCAGTGAAGCAACTGTACTACATTTCGACTGCTACGTTGCTATCAAACAGGTAACGCACAGATTGGAGGGTCCGATACAATCGTCATGACAAAATGCTCCACACTTTTTACACATGATCATAGCCTTTAAGCTACAAGCACAATTCGTCGACACATTGTCGATGGTTGAGGGCAATCCTGTCCCTGACAATCCTGCTGTGGACAAGCCCACAGATTTACTTGTTGTCTGTGCAGAAACAAAAGGTACTATACTACAGCGAACCTTTTTAGCTTGATTGTTAGCAGCTGCCGCGGCTGCAGCAGCGTGACTATTTGCCTTGTTCTGCACATGCGCCTCAATACTCTTAATGATGTAAGGATTATTCACTATTTGCGTGGCACTGCAAACTACAATTTTTTTCAACCGCTGGGCCGGGGTAACCTTGCCCGGGCCCGCGGAGCCACCGCTGTTTGGGGACGGAGCGGTGGCCTCAGGTCGTGACTGTGTCAACATCGTAAGAGGTAACACAGTGGTATGAGGCGGTTTACGACCTGGAGCAGTAGGAGTGCCAGTCTTGGATAAAAAATTCACCTGATCTGGAGAAATAACACGTATTTCCTGATTGACAGGTTCTGAAGGGTTTTGAGTAGCTATCGTCCCATTTCCCTCTGCTGCAACTTGACCTCCAGCACTTGCAGACCTTACCAGAGTTTGAATGTTGGTGTTGACAAGAAGATTCTGTGGGGGAGCACTTGAAGCGCGGGAGGGTTGGATACGGATTGTGTTATTTCCAGCCTGATGGGCATTGAGGATCTGTGCCAGGCTTGATGTGGTTACTGCTGAGGTTGGAATACCAGCAGGCAGTAACACTTTGGTATTGGACCCTGGAAGTGTTAACACTGTAGCAGTTTGTGATATTGTAGATCTGAGAGCCGTGTTTTGGGGCAGGGTCAGCACTAACGATGTTTCATTATTGATGCCAGAGAAACCCTGCACCCCAGTTCCTACAGTCCGAACCTTTGCTATGTTGACCATTACCGGAGAACTAACTGTCCGACTTTGCAATGACTGCTCACTTGATGTGCTGCTACTATGTGTAGTAGACACATTGGAAAACAGAAGTTTTGAGGCACTTAACTGACCTTGTCCTGTCACACTTATCCCTTTAGCACCACTTTGTGCATGTCCTAATATTTTGGGGAGAGTAGAACTGGCTGTGTCGGCTGAACCTGTAACCGTGGTTGAGATTCCATTGTTTGACTGAGGTACTCCACTCACTTGTGTCCTCTTCATAACTTTCTGACAAATCTCCAACGACCTCTTTATATTCACATTATCTTTCCCCCCTTCTTGGGCAGCTTTCTGCATTATTTCTAAAGAACGCTTCATATTGACTCCATCGGTCCCTACATCGGAAGAAACTGTTGTTCCTTTGGTGAGGTTTTCCGTACTAACTCCTTTGACAGGCTGTAGCTGTTTAGGACGACCAGGGGCCGGCATCATAATGTTTGGCACATGTCTACTAGCTGTAGCACTCCCTGTTGAACTGATGGCACTAGCAGGTATACGGCCCCTTGCAATGAGGTGAGCCTGAAGTTTGGCTTGGGTTTCTGGTTGTTGTTGGTGTAAATGTTCCCGGAGCTGTTGCTTAGCTTTTGTCTGTGCTTTGATCTGTGCAAGTGTTCTGGTCTGCCCACGAGTGTTCTGGGCACGAATCTGGGCCAAGGTACGAGTCTGAGGTGGAGATCTGACGGCCACACCCGGCGTTGGCCCTCCCACAAGGACAGGGGATCTGGAAGTATGTGCCAGGGTGACCTGTAGGGTGGTGCTGGCCTTTGTTGGGGTTGTAGCATGCAGAGAGTGAGAAGGTACTGAAGGTGGTGAGGTAGTGATGGCGTTCAGAATTGAAACATGTTTTGACTGCGTCACCGCAGGCTCAACGATTGTCACTGATTTGACAGGCTTTGTCCCTACCACACGCGTAGGACTGCACACTTGAGGAACAGTCTTCTCTGGTGATGATACAACATCCACAATTACATCCTCAGACAGAGACGGGTTTTTCTGACGCTTCGCTGGGCTAACACTGTTGAGAACCCGGTGACCTTCTGGGTCTACAGGCATGGACAGTGACCTCTTGAGAGTTTTGTGAGGGTCATTGTTACTGATTGCATGTTTAACAGTAGACACTTTCATCAGAAGACCACCCTGAGCAGCACCATCGGAAGAGCTTCCCACAGTCTGAAATATTGACCGTTGTTTCAACATGGTGGAGACAAGTGTAGCTTTCTTCAGTTTTGTTTTAACAGGAGAAGCCGGAGTGACTGGTGATGGAAGGTCTGCTTTTGGCACTTCGTAACCAGTATTTCTGTGAAACAAGACAAAGGAATATCGTCTTACTTTACATTATATTATAAGATATTAGTACAGCTAGCTACACGTGTTTCTATAAGAAATCAGACTAAAGCTGAATAACATAATACAAGTATGATATTTATTTTATGGCAATCAATCTGAATGAATAAACACCTTTGTTTTTTTTAATTCAGACAAGGTGAGATAAAATATTTCAGCTGAGAACAAATGATTTTGAATTCACTGCACCATATATATTCACATTCACAACATCTTACCTTTTCCCCCACATTTCCTCAAAATGCTTTGCCTGTAAAAATACAAAACCCCAATTCAAAGTAAAATCAACAATCTAGATTTCTACCATACACAAAATATGAATTACTCAATCGTGACTTGTTGGTGATATAAACTGTATAGTTATGAGAGAAAAGATATTTTTACAAAAGGAACAATATCTGCTATCTATCTTTTTCATTTCCTAAAGATATACTTGCGAGATGCTTCACTTTGCCATCAACTGCATGACAGTTATAATTTATCCAGTTTCAAAATTTTATCACATTAAGTCCTTTAGCAACAAAATATTTTTTTTCCACTAAAACAGAGTACAAAAGTGTCTTTTAAAATTCTCATTTCTATAATATTCCTGTATTTAGTATAACACCTTTATCTGACTATTCTTAACAACTTAATTCTCCACAACTTTACCTTCCATGGATCCAGTTTACCCAGCTCCCTCTCCTCCTCCTGTTTGATACGCACCTGGTTTTCTGGAGTGAACTCCCCTGTAAAGTACATATAGATATTTATCTGTGATTGCAATGATTCAGAAGCCCTTTCTCTCTTGACACAGAATAACTGTACCGTCCTTACTGATTGTTCTGGTGTAACAGATGCCACCACTTAATAACCAAAAATGTTTGCAAGGACAACACAAGTCAGTTCTTCATAGAACCATGCTGCCCTGTTCATAATCACTAATTCCTTCAGATGTCTCCCTGTTCATATATAATCGTTGACACTTATTTCCTTTAGATAGGGTCAGCTTTATGAGCCATATTCATTCTGCAGCATTCACTGAGGAATAACAACAACAAAATTAAGGGATGTGAAAATGGGGTCCTGAGATCCACGATCAAACACCTTGAGACAACCAGTCATGTACTGAAGTATTGGGTACTTCGGGCCCTAGCCTTAAGTACTACATTTGTCAAATTATGAATATTTTCAATAAATTAGAGGAACTGTTGTACAAATTTTACATACAGGTGTGTTTTTGCTTTCTGACCATACATTAACATAAACAAAAGGATCATGAGGCCTGTATTGCTCATGTTTCCTTTTGTCATCTGCACAAGACATGAAGTTGAAATGTTTCTGTTAACTTGAGATATAATTAACTACTCATAAATATCATGGTGGAAGTTGAAAAGACGTTGAAAATGTCTTGGTTTACGAACAGGTAAAGGGATTTTGACATACTGCATCCCTTGGATTTCTAACCAGAAATAGGCTGTGGCAAATGCAAGGGGCCAGTCTTTCTGCATCCACAAATGTTATGGTTGTCTCGTGGGGGGTGGGGGAAGGGGTGTTGTTGTTCTTCTTCTTCAGGAGCAAGATGTTAACAACATTGTTCTCATTTTATCACCGCACTCTTCACTGTGCCTACTTTATCTCCCCAATAATTCTGTTGGTTAATATTGACTCTCAGGACCAATGCCTTAACATCAACATTAAATGACCTTCAATATGATATCTCAACACTGGAAATGGAAAGATCAATTACAATTCTACACAAAACTTAACGTAAGATTTGAACGGAATTCTATAGATCTTAAATGTAACTTATATAATTTGAACATTGACAATTTAATGTGATGTTGTTAATGACGAAGTTGTATAGAGATATAAAGCTAACAACTTACCTTGGGAGAGTCTTTCAATCCATTCCTGGCAGGATTTATTGAAGAACTCATTATTCAATGCAGTACTGCTCAACCTGGAACATAATACATGTAGGTGAAGACTTCTAAGCCATATTCTGAACTTGATTTGTTTAAACTCTGTCATTATCATTATTCTGTCATTATTTTTTTTCATTTCTGAAGACATAATATGAAAGATAGCAAAATTGAGTCTGTTTTAAACACCTGAAAAAACGAGCATACTATGAGTATGATGTATTGTTTATTTATGCAAAGCTACATGTGTTGCATCATGCAGATCTATATACCGTAAAAACCCATGTAATTTGCGCACCTGTGTAATTTGCGCAGGTACTTTTTGAGGCTGAAAATCGGGAAAAAAGCTTCTACTCGAATATTTTGCGCACCCAAAAAATCTGGAAAAAAAACGATGTTCATGCTCCGAACATCGATCTCTGAATATTTTTAAAAAAAATATATTTCTATGATTTTTTTTCCATTGATGTAAAATGATATTTAAAACCAAGAAGAAACTACGTAAAATGTGTATTTTGTTGCTTGTTTTCTTTAAATTATCTGATCACACATGACACACACGTGTGCGCATATCGGCATACATCAATTCATTTTAGCAATATTTTACATAAAACATTTACTTGCTTACAAAAACATATCAATTAATAAGTAATTCGATGTTTAGTAACCGCTGGTGCATATCTCCTGGTGAAAGACATAATTAGATACCTTTTATTGATCATAATTACGATCAGTGAGAAGGGCTCATCATGGCGGCTTGGGTTACGTCACTTCAAACCAGGTCATGTCACAGTTCAGTTTGGCCACGGAATTAGATTATCTAAGTCCGTGGTTTGGCGATATTTTTTTACAAATTACAATGCAGTAATGAGCTAACACTATCTCTGTGATTACCCGTTAACAATAGCTCTACTAATTGAAATGATTTGCAGTCGCGATCGACGGACTGTGTTGTTGTTTTTTCACTCGCCAACACGTGGCGTGAATTACGAAGCCCTACTGCATTGTCATAACAACAGACTGATTTGACTGATAAGGGATTATAAAAAATATGTTTATACTAGAAGCGTGGACAATCAATACATCCTCTTCAAATCTACTCCAAGGAAAAAAATAGTTAACGCAGACTATTTTTACGATGCTTCATTTAATAAATATTGAAATAATTCACGAGGTTATTATCAATCACGTGTTTACGTAATGTTAGACGCGAGATCAACATGAAAGTGAGCCGGAAAAAAAACATGCTATACGTTTACGCATAGGCGATTTGAAAAAAACTTAAAGAACTTACATGGAACGGAGCTTAAATTGAACAACTACATTTTCGTAATAGTATGGGGAAACGCACCGAGATGTCGAAACGTAATGTCGTAAGTTGATCGGTGATTCTCTGGCATAGGAATTTGGCTACACTTTTTTGTTAACGGTTACCTATTTACTAATACTTTTCACATAAACTCACATAACACCACATTATGTATCTTTTATTAATGTTTGACATAAATAAATTTGTTGACCGTCATTTGTCTTAGAGTTCCGTGTAACAAGGGAAATAATCCAAGATGGCGATCTCCCAGAATCGTCGACCTTTTCCTGAAAAAAACTTGAAATTTTCTATACCTGTGTATTTTACGCACCCCCCACTTTGGGTATTAAATTTCTGAAAAAAAAGTGCGCAAATTACATGGGTTTTTACGGTACACAGGTATGGACTGTGTTCCCATTCAATAAACTAATTGTTCCTATAAAAAGTATGGTAGCAGAATTAGTAAGATACCATTAAATAAAATGTTACAGTAGGACTTGAACAAGCTTCAAACAGAATTCAAAGACGGTGAATCAGAGACACAAATTTATTTAAGGTATTGCAGCGCTGAATTTCTAAATTTAAGTAAGAACCTAGCTGGGAGTATGAACCTACCTGGGAGTATTGACCTACCTGTGAGTATAGACCTACCTGTGAGTATGGACCTACCTGAGAGTATGAACCTAGCTGGGAGTATGGACCTACCTGAGAGTATGGACCTACCTGGAAGTATGAACCTACCTGGTAGTATGGACCTACCTGGTAGTATGGACCTACCTGGGAGTATGGACCTACATGAGAGTATGTCCCTACCTGAAAGTATGAACCTACCTGGTAGTATGGACCTACCTGGGAGTATGGACCTACTTGAGAGTATGTCCCTACCTGAAAGTATGAACCTACCTGGTAGTATGGACCTACCTGGAAGTAAGGACCTACCTGGCAGTATGGACCTACCTGGAAGTAAGGACCTACCTGGCAGTATGAACCTACCTGGGAGTATGGACCTACCTGGTAGTATGAACCTACCTGGCAGTATGAACCTACCTGGGGGTATGAACCTACCTGGGAGTATGAACCTACCTGGTAGTATGGACCTACCTGGAAGTAAGGACCTACCTGACAGTATGGACCTACCTGGAAGTAAGGACCTACCTGGCAGTATGAACCTATCTGGGAGTATGGACCTACCTGGCAGTATGAACCTACCTGGCAGTATGAACCTACCTGGTAGTATGGACCTACCTGAAAGTATGGACCTACCTGGGGGTATGAACCTACCTGAGGGTATGAACCTACCTGGGAGTATGAACCTACCTGGGAGTATGGACCTACCTGGAAGTATGGACCTACCTGGGGGTATGAACCTACCTGAGGGTGTTGTCTTGTCCAACGTATCTGTCACATTCTGGTAGGAAGTGTAACAACTTGTACTGGTATTGACTTGGCAGCTTGGAGAACATCCTCTTGTCTATCAAATTCTGAAATGTTACAGAAAATGTTAATTTGGGTGCTTCACAAGTACAGTAGTTTTGAGTTTCAAAAAAAACACCATACAGATTCAGAACATCAGAAACTTGAGACCTATCCAGTAATCATTTCAACAATTCAGCTTGTAGTATGATGAGGTCAATTTTGATACTTAAATAATTATATGAGAATTCACATTCACAGCATGCATACATCATTATCAAAAGCATGGCAGTGTCGGGAGAAATTGTGTGCATTATAAAATGTTTTGGGTTCATTTTGTAATTGACATAAGTTTCACATAAACAATGTTTAATCAGGGCCCTGCTTCTGGTTTGAATACTCAAAGACTTACTCTAAGATTGGTGTTGCACAGAATAGAATCTGGAGTTTCCAAATCAATACAGCCTTCCTTTGTTTGGGCAATCTGGGCAGCATGACTCAATTTTTTATGGGGTCTCCTTCGAGGCTACAAAAGAAAAATCCTCATACATATATGCTGGTGCCATTAACTGAGTAATCTTTCAGTAAGGCCCTGCCAGTATGTTACTAGGCGAGGCACACCCGTTACACGAGTCTCGATACATATTCTGCACCCCGCCCTTCCGTCTACATCTGCCTTTGTGGACGTGGGTAGCAATTATAGAGAATAAATTTATACAAGTCAGAATCAATACAGGTGGAAATCCTTTTGTCCTTACTTGGATGAACACTTAAATGAAAATCTAGTATAGAGAAGATGGTCCATCGACCAAAATTAAACTAAAACTATGAGATCCTACACTGTAACTAAGTAAGTCCTACCTTCATACTGAAGCCTGGAATCCCAGCCAGTATTTCCCTCATGGTCTGAGGTCGCTTTGAGGCTGGTGCTGGTGATTTACCACTGTCCGAGCTGTCAGACTTGCTGTCCCCATTTCGGAAACTGCCATCATTCTCGGACTCCATTTCTGAATGTCCATCTGTGCAGGGCAGAATATTGTATGTAGTATCATATTGATGTTATGCGTGTAAAACAAAACATTAGTCAGTCCATATACAGTAAACAAGTGCTCTCCTGTGGATGTTTTACTGACATTGAACCATGTTTTTTACTGTACATAGATATTCAATATTGCTATCGTACATAAACAGTTCCATTAAATTTCCTATGATGCCTAAATCAAATTTCATGTAGTTTCAAGTTCACCTGAACCTTTTGGTGATTTATAGCTAAAGACTGATAAAAATAGATTAAGTTAGACCATTGACGGATGGAGGACTGTAAAAACACCAGAGTATTTATTAAAAGATTAACCTTTTTGAGACTTGGCTTCTTTTTCCTTGTCAGGAGGAGGAATAGGTTTGATAATAATTCTGGGATAGTCGTTTTGTTTCTTCTTCTGTTTCTGGCGTAAAGACTGTCGCATGCTACGTCTCAGAGTGTGGTTGACATGTGAGGATATACTCGTCCCTGAAGATGAGGATGAAGATCTATGGTGGCTCTCCTTGGTGTCCGACGGTTCTCCGATTTCATCTGCATCACCATTAGACTGTTCATCGTCATCTTCTGTAGGAGGAATTGTTTTTACCCAAGAAGGTAAACTTACAAACATCACTGTAAACAGAAAATATGAATAACATCCACCTGATTTGTTTTGACTCTCTGTGATACTTTGATGTTTGTAACTTGACATTACACAAATAATTCTTAATTAAAGCTCCCAAGTTGCTCCCAAGTTTTCTTAATGTTATTATATTGACATAATTTTTAATTAATGTATCTATCAACCTAGACATCAAAATTGATTCACATATAAATCTATTAAGCAGGTTTCCTTAAATAAATTAATCAATATAGTGTACTAAACTTTAGTTGGGTCTAAATTTTTGAGACTCTCAATAAAACATTCAACAACTTATACAATTCATGTTTCATTTTTTTTATCCTTGCTTAATTTAATAGTTGAATCAGGACAACAAACTAAATAAACTATGGTGGTTTAAAAAAAAAAAAATGAAAACAGGAATAACAGTGGAATTGATGGATGCTCCACAAAAAATGCTCCTTTAGAAAATGTTTGTGTCAATACATGTAAATGCAACAGACAAATTGTTCTGTAGGAGCAAGATTTGGAGTTGTTGTCTTTATCATGTGCATGGGAGTTTCATAAAGTTATCTAAAGCAAATTAGCATACAATGTAAATGCCATTAATTTAATGAAGTTTGTACAAAATAGCTTTGGAGTAGTTTTTGTTTCTACATGTAGCTGTAAACAACAGAATAATTTTGCATTCAATATCAATCAAATGTTCTTGATTTTTTGGGGGATTGCACACAAAATAATTTCAGAACTGAGAAAATTGGCTAGTTGTACATTTTGTTCAGTCACAAAAACTGCAAAACTTAGTTAAGGGCCACAGACTTTAAAAGCAAGACTGAAAATAAAGATAAGACATACCATTTTCTTTTCTACGTTCCTTGAAAGGCCGGTCCCTGCCGTCATCATCTTCATTCTCCTCTGGTACTTCGTGAAGCGTGGACCCACTGGGTCTATCTCCCTACACAAAGCGAAACAAATATCAGGAATTAAAGTAATTACTTTAATATTCAATTTTATCTAGACACAGCACAGATTTCTTATTTTGATCCCATCAATTGAGTTTACACACTTTAAAAGACATCTCTCTGGGTCATAATTGGGATTTGTGATACCAGCTATATATTATATATTAAGATTTGATTACACAATATAGATACAAGTATGGCTGTGTGTCAGTGTTATATTAAGATTTTGCTAGGCATAGATACAGTAAGGCTATATGTTATACAGTAAAATATTTGCATAAATAGTATGCACTTTTTTCAGGGAAAAGTAATGATATTATCATGATCAAGAAAGGGGTGCACACTATATATGGGAACAATCCACGACCAGACTTTAAATGTGACCATTTATCATAATTTTTGGGGGGATTTTCAGAAATATTTTGAAAAACATTCTCACAGCAAGACTGCTATTTTTTGTGTGTGTAAATACTCTGGATTGCATTGTTTATTTTAATATTACAAAAAAGTTTGAAGTTTAATCCATATTTCACGATAAAATCTGATTAATAAACAGTAGGCCTTACTTTCAGATCTAAGGTATATTCATATTTGACATGGTATGGTAGAGGTATGACTTGATACTACTTTTAGACAAGGCATAGATGGAAGTATTGCTGTGTGTTATACTTATAAAGGGTGCTACATAAAGAATGTTCATTTGTATAGGTCTTCTTCCAATACTTCCAAAGTAGTTACATTCTACTAGCAGAAAGGGAGATATTTTCTTACACAAGGTCACTAAATCCAAACAGATTGACAGGTTTGCTTGTCAAAATCACACATATACCTAAATGATAGTGACTCTTGTGCCTTTCTTATGTTTGATCAATAACAATCAATATGTAACTGATACACTTGAAATCAAATGTAAAATTATAATATATCAACATTTCATTCCAAACCATCTGTTTACAATTACATATGAAACAAACTCAGACATGATTATATGTACGCACCATTAATCCATACACTCCCGATCTACCGGCTACCTTGTAGAAGACGGAATCTTTCCCTCTGGAGTAGGCATGCAGACAGGAGTTTAGGCATGCCAATGGCACAGACCCACTGGGAAAAAAAACCCAAGCTTATATTACTATACAATGTGTACAAAACAATATCCTGGATACACATATTCATCTTGGACAATTCTATTCATTCCTACATTATTAACAATGAATGTTGATGTTTCCTTGCACATTTAAGGGCGACCAGCCTTTAATTTCTGAAAAACTGTATATAAAGCTCACATACATGTATTCATGGTAATCAAAATATGGACACAAGTTGTGCATAACCAATTTCTATGTGATAAGATGTAAAATGTATGCAAACAGTTTTTAAGTTTTAAAATTTGCAACAATTATGATACAAATTTTCCCAGCTTACATTTATCACTTTTGTAAGCCTTGATGGAAGGAAGCACAAACAGCTTCTTATTGTGGAAGGAAATTGAAATACCCAGAGAAAACCCACAAAGTCAGGCAGGTGACCCAATACCTTTTCACGTACATATATAACTCAAATCAAATCATCAAACATGCACATGTTTTTTTCTACTTACCTAATATCCTTTAAGTTATCATCTTGGATTGCTTGAAGAATAGCTTTATAGCTCATAGGAATCTGTGCATTTCTCTCCAACACCTGTACAATAATAATATAATATAAAGATTTGTTCTTTTCATATTTGATTCCTTAAGCTTCAAGATACAAAGGACATGCATTTGGGAGCTATGGTTGATTTTCAGCCTCATAAGAAGTTAAGATTTCCAGAATCAATTTCTTTCATAAATATCATTTTGGTTTTCTAACAGGGGACAGGGGATTAACAGGGGATTTCTTAATAACAGGGGATTTCTTTACTTTACTGATGCATTTTTTCATTGCACATGCATAGATGCTCAACCAAAGCAACAAATTTACATTGTTATGCAGAAATAGCCAAAATGGTATTTTGTTAAGCTATCCTACAGAAAAGAAAGCCTCTGCATATGTGACAACCAAAAATTCCTTTTCTTTCCATGAATAAACACTAGCATATATGACAATGGTTAAGCATGTCAAATATTTATTTGTGTGGCACATGCAGAGGCTTCCAAAAATTGAAGAGTGTTAAGTTAATTTGATTCAAAATTGCCAATTTTACACCTACAATATAACTAGCGCACGTAGTTGATTGTCATGCATTTTATTATGAAAAATAAAGGTTTATATCTCTCTTTGTTATGCTATATATCTCCTATACCAGTGGTCAAATGATTTGAAATTTCACATTTGCATACATGCTTCATTTATCCCAAATTACGAATAAAACAACAAATTCTAAATCCCTGATGGGGCTGGAAATGGCTTTTTAACACCCTTTAGACATTATTTGAGAGTGGGTGTAAATAAGTAGCATCAACAACCTGAAATATTTAGAACATGAGCCACAGGTGTGACACACAGATGTGACTACCTGTTCAACGAACAGATATATATGATGAATACTAAAGACCTGAGCAGCAGGAGATATTGTATGTATTTCAGTCCCTAAATAACTGTGAAATTTGGCCATGATGTCTATTTAACGTTAAAAGAAGGTTGAAAGAAGGATTTCACAGTGTTTTCAGAAGTCTCTCACCATGTTAAACCTCAAACAATTGACATTGTTGGAGAAAGCTTTAGCTGTGATAATGTAGCTCCTGATGATGAGACATTTTTTTTGTTTATCTATTGCATCGTCAGAGCTACGAATCTGTCGTATGACAGCTAATGGAGCAAAATCAAAAGTGTTTGATCTGTAAGATCACATGAAGTTCACGCTTCATATATAAGTATAATGTTACTACTGAAATAATGTATGATTGCTGAAATAACTAATTTTTACTGTAAAAAATAACTCTTTTCATGCAATTAGCAAAGTCTGTCATGAAAAAAATAAGAAACGACCGTAATGACAGATCACATGTGATTTTATCTCCATTATCTGTTTGTATATATGGCCTGCATGACCAAATATAGTACCTGGTATTACTCATGTTTACTATGATTCCATATTGGTGACACCCATATGTAGACGATTGACCTATATCAGAAGGGAAACAAGTTTTCCATCGTGACAGATGTTGCTTCTTTTTACTAACCTGTGTATGGATGCGCACCCAAGTGCTGGTAACTAATGCGAAACTGACCTGATGTGAATCACATCGGGCTTGCTCCATTACATGGCATAATTTAATACCTGGCCTTTGCAGAGGAGGCCAGGTATTAAGTATTAATATTTATAGAACTCAAGTAAGCCAAGTGATCTCAAATTTCTACCTCCTTTCCACAGGAGCCTGTGCCTTATGATGTTCGGATAAACATCACACACACACAAAGCATAATTTTTGGGAAATACATAAGAAATATCTAGGGTGAGGGGCCTCAAATTCACCCAAAAATTACTGAATAGAAAACAACTGACTTTCTCCATTTTGATGTAGTGAAAATAGGTTGTCCACCATAGGTTACAAAGTGAAAAATCTGCATAAATTAATGAACAATCCTTATTTAATGTCGTGTAAATTTTCAGCAACAAACATAAGCTCTGTAGAGCTTTTAAATTTAATTACGACGCTGCCAAGGGAACAAATGTTTTTTTTGTGGTGAAGGAAAAACCCACGGGGGAAAACCACCGTGCCATCGGAGGGATAACAACAAATCTTATCAGACATCACTCTCTTTCTTCCGCCATCGCTGGGGATCGAACCAAAGTTCTTTGGAGAGCGAGTGGTCTGAAGCTCACGCTTGATTGCACACAGTAGTAATGAATGTGCACATTGGCAGTCATGGCTACCGAGGCACCCAAGTTTGGTGTGCACTTAACTCAGTGACTTTTTATTCCAGAGCATGCCAATACCTTCCAAACATGGATGGAAAGATTATAGATTATTTATCTCTGCCACTATGCCAATAGAAATCCCGTAAAAGACCAATTTACACCTTCATATGACTATTTCTTCGTATCAAACGATTTTTAAATCAGTATAATTGCGTGTGAACATTTGGGAGGGGTCGCTAGTTAGGCTTACAGTTGATAGCATAAATGCTTACAAATAGATTGCTTTGGTTTGTGTACATTTATATGTAAATGGATATCCCGTAGCTAGGAAAGTTGTACATTGAACTTAACGAATTCATTTCAGTCTTTAAAATCACCATCAACACGGCAATGATTTTGTTGTAATACTGGGAAACAGAAGTCAAATCCGTGACCATTTTAGGACGGGAATGTTTCAGACAGCTGCACATGCAATATCGCAATCAGACAACTGTTGTTGACGGTCGACTTTAGGACAAAACTTGACACTTACTATCTTCGCAGCCTCGGCCCATGTTCGACTTTTCCTTCTTTTTGGTTGTTTGTCTTTCGAGTTATCGATTTGCATTGTGCATCGAAGTGCAAAATTGAGCAAAATAGTGTAAATATTCAGTCGTCATATCTTTACAAAGAGCTGACTCCAACTATCCTGCGCCATTTTTGTTAAAATCACGTGATATTATCAATATCCAATCAGCGAGCTCGACACAAAATCCTGCCTGGAAACTGCAATGGCGTCAAAATGGTGGAATGTGATAAACAAACCGTGAAACAATAGGTGAGATAGATTGTAATGCAGTCGTGTTACAAACATAACGGTTGACCCGGGATAATAATATTTTTTTTCATAGCTCGTAATAAAAGAACAGAATTACCTTCGGCAATGGAAATTATTGTAGACTTTACCGTTGTGTAGGAAGATCCGACTAAAATGCCTACCGACCCTCTCTTGAACAAGTATCCCAACAGTTGATCGCACTTTCAGCTCAATCATAATACTTTTTATGACAACAAAAAGTGTTTTGATTTACAATAAAACATTTAAAAATTATTGCCCCCCCCCCTCCTCCCTTTTTCAAAATTCAATTTTCATTGATGTTTTTGTTTTTAACGCTTCAGACTGAAATATATGAAAAAAATTGTCATGACACTAATAAATTATTAAAAGTACCATTCATATTTTGTAATGTACAAGAGGGCACATATCTATAGTCTTGACCATCTACTGCGATGTTTCTTATAAAGTTTAAGTATTCAAATTACTGTACATCGCTGGAAATTATACCTTGCCTGAATATCGCAGTAAGTGCGGTATTTCCCCTTCATATTCTGTGGTTGCTACATTATCTCGGGCCCACTCCCCATTAAAGTCTAAATTGTCTGAAAACTTGGCCTTGCAAAGTCCCTGACCTGACTCCTACCTTTATACCAGTGCTCCTTCTCTAGTCACCAGGAATTGCCCTTACCAGGTACATGAAGGTTATAATGCTGTCACCATATGTGGTATGCAAGGGGACAGTCCCATCCAGCCAATGACCATGCTTGATTGCAGAATTTTGTTTATAATCTTTTATGAAAGTCATAATTAAACTGTTTGACAAAATTACAGTAAGAGGAATCATTGATCCACCATATTCTTTGCCAACACCAGTAATGATAGGCCTCCAGGTGTCCTAAGTACTTCTACAGTGCTGCGCCGACGTTAAACACAATATTTCTGACAACCACTGGTCACATTCAAAATCATACGTCATATATATATGGCAGCCCTTATATTATGTTAGAGGAGTAGGATGATCTGAACAAAGACATAAACAAAACACTAGCTGACATTTTCATTCTTAAAATGTTCACATGATCCCCACACTGTCTATAGACGACACTAACAAATAACATGATGATTGCCTATAGGCTTGATCATTGACATTTTTGCTGGAGTTGCTGAACTGTCTTTATATATCTCTGATTCTGAGAACAGATTTCTAGTTTGGTACTTTAAGGTAGTATCCAGCTTACCTGCAAAAAACTGTAATTTATTTATCCTATAATCATGAAAATCTCTGAAACTAATGTGTATATCAACATCAATAAATAAACAATACAAATGTTTTATTTTTAATTTAGCTAACTTAAAAATGAGAAGAAACAACTGACATAGGACCATCAAGATGTCGATGACAAAAGTGGTGAGACTGGAAGAGGTGGAGCCGAGGGAAACCTTCAGCTCCCAGTACACACAGAGTAAAAGTGTTCTTCTTGCCAGCTCACAGTCACTGCAAGGTAACGACATGTAATCTATGTCTTTAGCATTGACAAAATCACATAAAATTTTACGGAAGTAAACAAAGGATAGAAGCAACTTATGATTCCAGCTTTCCATAACTGTATTGATGCTTGTGCTATTAAACTAGTAGTTAATATGCTTAAGGGCAATTTATATGATCAGTAACTAGAGTAAATTGGATTTTAATTATTTTTTAAATAACATCAACAAATGTTGGTTGATAAGTTTGAGAAAGTTACCACCTCTGTCCAAGTGCTTATTGTATACCGGGAAATGCTCGCCCGGTAAAATTTTCACCCTTCACCAGAATCATCCATATTTGCCCGGTGTTAATTTCATCTTCACATTTAATTACATATATATTATATTGTTTGCTACTGTTCGCTGTAATTAAAAATTCACCTTCATTACGGCGGGCAAAAAAGACGACAATTTAAACTGCAGCGAAAAAATTCCCGGTATACAGTACTTATTTATTCTAGTTTAATAATTTTGTCATAATAATACCACAGTATTATCCATACCATTGCCTGTAGAACACTTACATACCTGGTTGTCAGTATATCAAGAATCATGTACTTTCATTAATCTTTCTTGTATCTTTATACAGTGGCCAGCACTAGTGGCTCAGATCAAGATCCAAATGATCTGGAGTTAGTGGAAGCTGAAGGTATATTTTTCATATTTTAAATGAACTAAAAAGCTTTTTCTAAATTATATTACTGTACATTAAGAAACATGGTTTAGAGAAATACAAGTTCAGCTTGATATATATTGATATTCAGGGATTAACAGATTACAACTAGCCATATTACATTTTAAGAAGTACTTATTAAACATGTTGTAATGTTTCAAAAACGACTGGTCCCTTTGTCAAGCTATGACTGAGTAAGTGATTTTTACTGTTTAGCTGTACAACAATGTAGCGAAATTTTTAATTTCATATGTCATTAGACACAGGACATTTTGCTTATTAATAGAGAGCTCAACAATATAAACTGTATCAAATAGGTTACTGGTCGGGTGTATATTGACCCCCCTCTCCTGTTAAGATCATTAGTGGGTCATACAGATAACTTACAATGTAGCTGGTGCTCCCCCTCCCTGTCTCTGTCATGTTCTGAGTTTTGAGTATGGAAAATGGACTGGAAAAAAACAAACCTGTATAAAGAATTATATATAATTACCACATGAATATGAAGGAACATTTTCCCCTTAATTAATTTTACATAGACATTGAGCAATTGATAAGATTGTTTTGACAACCTAGTCTCTTTAATGCATTCACAACAAACTTTTAAGATCATGTTATATCAGACTCATTCAAATATTGGTATTAATCTGTGTACGGTACAATGTTACAGATAAAGTGTATCCACTGCCGGAAAACTGGCCTAATATACAACAGCTGCTGCGGAGGAAGAGCTGTGAACTGGTGCACACCACCTCTCCGTGTGTAAAGAAGGCTGTTTCTCATCTGGAACTCATTCAAAATATTATAGAGGAGTGGTTTAGGGAACGTGAAGAAGAGACCAAGAGTCGTGCATCTGTCCATGAAGGTAAAATGTTAGCTAGAGATCTCTTCTGAGAGTCACATATCTGTACACAGAGGTAAAACGCTAGCAAGAGAACTCCCCTAGCTAGAGTCGCACATCTGTACACAGAGGTAAAATGTTAGCTAGAGAACTCCCCTAGCTAGAGTCGCACATCTGTACACAGAGGTAAAATGTTAGCTAGAGAACTCCCCTAGCTAGAGTCGCACATCTGTACACAGAGGTAAAACGCTAGCTAGAGAACTCCCCTAGCTAGAGTCGTACATCTGTACACTGAGTTAAAATGCTAGCTAGAGAACTCCCCTAGCTAGAGTCACACATCTGTACACAGAGGTAAAACGCTAGCTAGAGAACTTCCTTAGCTAGAGTCCCACATCTGTACACAGAGGTAAAACGCTAGCTAGAGAACTCCCCTAGCTAGAGTC